GCGGTGGCGGGCGTACAGTGTTCCAATGATGGTACGGAAGGGGGGGGGGATGTTCGCTCGATAATTACGTTTTTGAATGGTAATTATTATTTAAATGTTTATGATTCAATAAAAAAATATGGAAAACAAAAAAAACTGAACGTAGATTATTTCATAATAATGAAGTATCCGACTCTATTTATCGTAACCAGTACTATAATTCCACTTCCTTTTTCAAACACATAACATTTTTGAAGAAGACAGTTTTAACATTCTAATACAATATTTTATACAATGTTATATAATATAAAACTTTTAGTTCGTCCCAAACCAATAACACAGGCGCATAAACTAAAAAAAAGTTGTAAATAAGTAAAATAAAAAACACCCAAAAACTTGACATGTTTCTCTATGTATGTCAACGCGCTGAATCTTCGACATCTCATTTCCATTCACCCCCGCAAACAGTTTACCATTGAGAAGGAACATTATGGAAAAATACCCTTTCTGGCCGTGCTAGTAAACAAGAATGAAGACGGATCCCTCGGCCACATAGTATTCCGAAAACCCACCCACACGGACCGTTATCTTAACAATCTGTCGAACCGCTACCCCAGTCAGAAAAGGGCAATGATGAAGACACTCGTCCACCGCGCGACACAGATATGCGAAGACAACAACATTCACCAAGAACTCGGTCATCTGGAAAATGCTCTTGAAGCTAATGGGTATTCACTCCCAGAGGAGAAGAGAGCACTACGTCCAAATAACATCGCACGCAGTCCTCCCGAAGAAAACATTCACAAGGTCACACTGCCGTTCATAAAGAACATCATGGACGTATTGGCAAGATTCTGAAACACCACAACATCAAAACCATTTTTACCCCACACCACTCAGCTCCGCAACCTCTTTAGATCGGTTAAAGACCGTAGGGACACACTAATGCCAGCAGGCATTTACAGGATACAATGTTCCTCTGGCTCTATGTACATAGGCACAACACAGCTTTCAGTCAACACTCGCTTCACCGAACACAAACGAAATTGCCGCTTGGGATATACAGAGAAATCACCGGTGGCTGAACATGCCCCCACGGGAAGATAACACGACATCCTGTTCACAGACACTGAAACACTATCTACCACCAACCACTACCACACCAGATTACAACGGGAAGGTATTGAGATTTTTAATCATCCCAATAACTTCAGGAAAGAAGGTCTCAAAATTAATTCTATCTCGAATCCCGTACTCCGCAACACTAGTATAAAACCACATAAAGGCCAGAATTATCGAATCCAGCCACAGCGTAATCGATAACCAGGAGCCAGCTCGCGTACCATCAACCAATCGCAAGCTAGCGCGCAAATTCCCCATCGCGGCGCCCCCCTCCCGCCGACTATAAAAGCCGCGGCCGCGCGGAGCACGACGCCAGGAAATTGCGAGCGCCGCACGCGCTGCAAGAAATGAGTGGAGGCTCACGACGCAGCGCAGTGCCCGCTGGGGTAACACCCCCCAGTGGAAGCGCTTAAAGCTCAAACTGTCTGGGCGACCGGCACGGCGCTAAGTTCAAGGGTTGACCCGAGTACAAGCACCGTTGAACCAGGGGCAATCCTGCTCAACAGCAGTGGGACGGCCAGCGGCGGCGCGCCCGCATCCAGGACAGGCGTGCGGCTGAGACGCAGTCGGAGGCGTCGCGCTCTCCCTCGTGGCAGCGCGAATCTTATCGCCGTCGCACCTCTACACCACCACCGCGGCCCAGACGCGAACGCCGACGCGCCCAGCAACGCTAGGAACGGACCTACACGGACGCTCTGGGGCAACTCAAGAAAACGTGCGCAGATAATATTTTCCCTCCTACGTCACATACAGTTTTTACTCTCTTTATTTTACTGAATAAATCTAAATCGCCCCGTCACGTCCGGGAACGCCTGCCGCCGGCAGAGGGAGCGCGTCGCTCACTCTGATCGAGTAGGAGCGCGTGATGCACGCCGCCGTGGATGGTCTCACCCAAAACGAGATCGCTCCGGACCGCGTGACGCGGGCCATCGTCGGCAGCGATCCAGCCGACGAGCTGGCGGTCATACTCTAAGTAGTCGTTGCACTTCTTCTTGTGCACGCGCATGAGGTGACCGCGGCCGCTGCGGTGAAAGGGACGGGGGGGGGGGGCACGTTCCTCCTCGTTCGCGCCACGTTCATCCCATCCTTAAATAATGGCTAGCTCTCCCACTTTTTTACAGGAACAGCGGCACCGTTGCATTTCGGAGCTGCAACGGCATCTGCTCTCGATCGAAGCAGTCAGAACTACAGTTTTCTCGCTCAGCATAATATTTCTGTCTTGATGCCGGGTGAGACATGGCATAGTCCGCATCTTTCTCTAAAAAGCCCAGGTTTCAGCTGCTACAGAAACAAAAGAGCAGCACACGCAGCAAACGCGAGTGACGCCAACAGGTACTGCAATACTAATACGACACAACATTATGTTTCAGTTCTCCCGCAGCTACAGCACGCCGAGGCCAATGCTGTTGTCGCTCAGCCGGAACGAGGGCCGCTGCGTCTCATTTCTATCTACGCTCGCCCAGACCGCTCCGCGGAAACGTGCGCCCTACTAGCTGCAGATATTGCAAAACTAGTAGACGCAAACAGTTCCAACACTCGTGGCAGACGGGCGATTTTAATGCCAAACACACGGCCTGGAGTTCCCACATCACCTGTCCTCGCGGCCGAAAAATGGAAGCAATCGCTGACGCAAACGATTGCGAGATTTACGCTCCCTCTGCATCTACCTATTACCCTTACAAAACTAACGGTAAACCCGATATTTTAGATATTGCGCTTTACCAAATATTCGTTACCCTACCCTACTGACAATTATGTCCTTTCCTCTGACCACTTTCCAGTGATAGCGGATATGAGATGCGGACTGTGGCTGTGGACTGCACCAACGACGCAGAAGCAGCGCACATATTAGAATCAATTTCAGACGGAGCTGCAGCAGCGCATCCCGGAGGCATCTGCTCTGCCAGGCTCGCTGCAGATAGAAGCCGGAGCTCAAAAATTCGCAAAAGCTGTGACTGACTGCCTCAACGCAGCAGCTGAGAAGCAACGTTCTTCTAAGAAGGAGCAGTCATTAACCCCTTTTTTAATTTATTTAATTTCTAGGAAAAACAGAGCGCGCAGAGTGTGGCAGACCACGAGACACCCAGCTGATAAGCGGGAGCTAAATTGATTGAAACGTAAAGTGAAAATTGAACTAGCTGAATACCGCAATCAGAAATGGGATAAATTGTTATCAGGGCTCAACCTGAAGATAATTCACTACGGAAAATCTCTCACCTGCTTTCTAGGACTCCAATAACAGTGCTGCCGCTTCAGACCAGAACAGGAGAGTTCGCAGAATAGAACGTGGCGAAAGCGGAACTTCTAACTAATGTTTTAGAATGTTTCAGCCGGTCAAGGAGATGCCACCAATACCGCATGTTGTCGAAGTGCAACGAACGATAATGGCGGCCCTGCACGCGCCCGCCGACCAGTCGAGTTTCAGTACAAAAACAGTAGTTGGAGCCGAAAGCTAAAAAAGCCCTCGACCCCGACGGCATCTTTAACGACGTAAGGTCGTCGTTAGAGATGCCGTCGGGGTCGGGGGCTTTTTTAGAAGCTGCCGCAGCAAGCCATAGAGTTCTTAGTCGTTATGTTTAACAGTATACGGGGGCTGATAGATACGTTTGGTAAAAATAAAGTTGTTTTTTTTTTAAGAAAAGCTTTCCTTATTTTTCAACGTAGTCTCATCAATCTATACACTTTGCCCAGCGTGTTTCCAATTTTTTCATCCCATCGGAAAAATAGGAATTGTCAAACTCTGCGAAATACCCGTTTACAGCAGCAATCACTTCATCATTTGATGAAAATGTTTGCCCACCAAACCAAATTTTCAAATTGGGGAATAGAAAGAAATTACTCGGACTGAATCCGGTGAATATGGTGGATGAGGAACCAGTTCGAATCCTAATTGATGCACTTTTGCCATTGGAATTGCTGCTGTGTAGGATGGAGCATTGTCTTGGTGGAACAGCACTTTCTTGTGCAACAACCTTGGCCGTTTTTCGACCAATTTCTGTTTTATACTATCCAATAATGAAGCGTAATAGCACCCAGTTATGGTTCTGCAGTTATTGATGTCCACCGCAGACGTGGACGAAACGTTTGCCCTTTCAATGCCAACTGGACCACAGCCAACCAGCCGGGAAAATTTATCTTTTATTGACTCCGGCCATGAAAGCCTCCGATGCTGTGTGCGGTTCACGTGAGATAATTTGGACTCCGGGCTTGACTATTTATACAGTGCAAGTTTTTTTGAGATTGTTGAAATCCTCGTGATTTTCAATTCATTTACCAGCAAAATCCTTTTGTCATTTCATGATTGCAGGCTATTTGTAAATTCTTAGAAATTATTTTCATCTCGCGGGTTTCTCTGAGTTGCAAAGTTGCGTAATGCCTCTGTCGGTTTCACTCTTTTAACATACTGAAGTTCTTTCGAATATATTAAACACTTCTCCATCGTTACGGTATCTACAAAAGGATTTTTTTCTTTCCAACTCGAAAGAAAATTAACGGCTGTAGATGGTCTCCCACCCATGTACCCTGAAACATCAACAAAGGCCCACTGGTTTTCGTTATCGGCGACCGTTTTTTGCCCTCTCTCCCGCTCACCTTTGCTCGCACCGCTCGGGGAGGAAAACTGAGGCCCTACTTCATTTCTCCGTCAGGTGGCAAACTCTGATTTAGGTACTGGTGGTGTTCACAGACAAAAGGACATGGCAATTTGTCCATGTGGTGTACAAATTTAATTGAAGATCACTGGAACATACTAAGTATTTTTCCATTGGGGGTTAGTACATTTCCGAGCTGAGGTTAAAAAATGTTTTAACTAGTACTGATTTTCGAATACCGAGTAAATACACGTCAGTTTCAACTAAATTTTGAATTTGCAAAAAATGAGTAAAAAAAAAAACATTGACTTTAATGTTGATATGATTTATTAAATTTTTATTTACATTTTTGCACTTAAAAATCAGAAGTAATATTTGTTGTTGTTTTTTTTTTGCAGCAGTTATAATTACTGAAATATCTAAAAACTTTATTTTATAATCTAGGTTTTTTTGATATAGTACTTCGCTCATTTGAGCACCACCTGGACTTAAGACTGATTATTTTGTTGAAATCTGTCTTAGAAAATTATCACAATTTTAATTTGAAAAATGAAATAAATAGAAATAGAAAATTCCTCAATGGACATTATAAATTAGGAGGCATATCTTGATGGCGTAAGTTTCATAAAATCATGAAACGATAGATCAACTACAGCTCAAGGTTAATTCTCTGATTCATTTGTTTTTGTGGTTCCCTCTGAAAAGTCCAGGGTGATGCTGAAGGAGTATCCTAACAACACTGCATCTGTGATATTTTTATTTCCTTATCACATTCTTACTTAAGACATTTATTACAAAGTATCATAGATTTGAATTTGCTTCTTTTCCAAGGTCATAAAATAGCAATCTGCAAGGCACATGCAATACAATTGATAAGGGTGCAACTGCATTATCAGAAGGGGTCAAAAAAAAAAAAAGCAGCCGCACATCAATAAATTACATCACAATTTTATTCATCTTTCTGCACAAGCTCAACGTTTTTAAATTCTCTATTATATACAATTTCTATAGTGTCTTCAGGAAAGATAAAAATCCTTCATGGAAATTTAAAGAGTAAAAAGCAATTGAAATTATTCTATACAAACTTGACATGCTAGAAGCAGACACAAGATTCTATGCTCACTGTGTGAAAAAATATTAATAAACAAGAGTGCAACTCATATCTAATGAATTTCAACTCTGAACTTCCTGTGAAATCCATTTTCTTTTTAAACTGTATAACAAATACAAAAAAAATACTTACAGTAAATAGTCATACTAAACATTCAATACAAAATAATACAAAGTTGCCAAGTTCAAATGTGATAAATGTTTTACAATACTGAAAGGTTCTTCATGAAAGCATTATTATTTGAGCACTCAAACACCCCTTTTTATCAAAAGGTATAAAATCTGACACATTGTCAAATCATATTCAGCTAATTTTATCCACCATTCTTCTCATTTGATGCAGATGAGTCTACAAATACACCAGTTTGCATGATGTAATGAATTGAATTTGGCGTTTGATAAAGAATTTGATACTAATTTTAATAATTTGACTTTAATAAAGAAATTAGAGAGGACAAAATACTTCAGAACATAATTTAGTAGTAAGGTTCCAAGCTTGCTTGAATTAAAATCAAGTAAATTTGATTTAAGAACAACTGATACTGCGAAAATTCAAAGTACCAATTTATTAGGCATAATAAGCAAGTTTTACTCTCATTACATATCCATTTACAACTCTGTAATACGACAGTCAACTTGGAATCAATGTGGGTACATGTATGTATATCTATGATTCAGCAAAATAAAGCTGATTTCCCACAGGATTAGGGCACAATAATCAGTACTATCATTGGCAAGTTTTTGATGCGTTCCTTAAAATAACAATTAAATTTTAAATTACAAATATCTATATTGGATTTCAAACTTATTCTTTTACAGAAAATGACACATCTCTCTATTAATATTTAATTCTTTGGTTCCACAAAATGCAAATATACTTCTATTCTGCCTCTTTAAACATTCTGTAAGTGTACAGATTTCTACACTTTTCTTTCCTACCACTTTCTCAGAAAAACCTTCTTTAATATCATACATATCAGTGATGTACATTTCATTACATATCAACACTCTACTTACTGGTCATTTTACAATTAACTACAATAGTTTTTATGAAATGGCATTATTTCTAAGTACAAAGACGGCAAGGAAAAAATATTAACCCTACCCCCCCTTATATGTTAAGAGGGGAGAAAAAACTGAAGACAATTTTTTTAAAGCAGCAATTATACATTTTACCAATTCGTTGTTAATCCTCCAAATTAAAGCAATGTTTGTTGACAGGAAAAAATGCATCATCTAAATTGCAACACTCATTACTATTTAATGATTTGTATGTGATTTATTAAAAAAATATTTTTTTGTATATTTTAAATGAAGTAACAAAGAAACAGAAATATAGAATAAATAACTATGACAAATACAGAAGATATGTAAAGGTTCTCATGAAATTAAACAATATAAAATGTATTACAAAATCAATTATAATTTATCACAAAATAAATTATATTTTGTGCATATTTAATACCTAAAACAAATGTACCTTTTTCATTTGAGTCACTCATACACTATGTTGTTTAGAACATTTGCTTTGATAGTAGCTGTCATCACATGGACAGTAATAAACTTACCTTAAACTACAAAAAAAAAATCTAAATCAAATGGTATTAAGATTTACCAGAGATAATGCAAGAAACAGTATCCTGTAGTAAATTGACTTTCAATAAATTTCAAATATGTAGCCCAAAATACATTTTCTTATTCATAAAGGAAAATAGCTCTTCAGACAAAATAACCACTTCCCTGCAGTAAGTTGGTCATATCAGTTTATGACTATTGACTATTTTTTCCCAAGCTTATGAAGTTTAATGGACATATCTTCGCAGACATTTTAAAAAATAAATCATTGACTATACTCTGGTCAACCTTAATTATTTTATGCAAAACTGCAAAATTACAAAATTACATTATAATACTGGTATATTCATTGGTTTGGTTCCTTCTATGCTATCCTTACAATGTACAATAGCAATTAGCAAAATTGTTTCAATAATAGGATACTCGTTTAAATAAATAACATGATAGAGAGAAGTGTAAATTTCAAAGATATCTCTCAAATTTCATTTTTCACGCATTTAAAGGCTAATATGAACGTCAGTGAAGAATTCCTCACCTCACTGATAAACAAAATATTTTTAAAAAAACATTGGAATGGTATGGTGTAAGCACATTGTAGTACAAAGTTACACACACATTGCAGATATTTCTTTGAAATTGATGACATTTTCAGGTAAAAGGCCTAACTTATTGTGATCAGATTGTAACAATAATGACAATACCCAGAGATGCTCAATTCGTCATTGAATTCAAAATGACACTTGACAAAGAAACCCTCATTTATATAGATTTGAAATATAATAAGCATATTTTATTAGTTAATAATTATACAACAAAGAACCCAAGTCCACTTTGAGTAGGGCTTTTACCTAATTTGCTTTTAATTCCTAATTAGTTTCTATATGAGCAATCTGTACTACATGCAGTATGCATGTACTTATCAGAAAACTAATACAATTACTCTACTTTATTTACATATTACAATAAATGCTTCAAAATGTGAATCTATAAGTTTCTGGACCACAGTCAAGTACTTCAACATAATTGAAGCTGGAAATAATTGACTAATGTTTATTTTTAATATTCCACAATATGACTCACATTTTACACCTGTATTACCTTTCCTAGATCTATAAGCTTATCAACTACTAACAATGTTCTTAGATAACGATTCACTTCTTCCTAACAGAGCAATTAAATCAACACATATTCCATCTGTAGACTCATTAGCAGCTGATCATAGTGATAAATTTATCTCATGTTTTCTACACATAGTTGCATTCTTTATACCACTATCTGAAAGGTTAACAAAAATAATAGTGTCATCATTAGATTAATTTCTGTTATTTCTCAATAGAAGATTTCTCACATGACGTTTTAAATCTTTGATCAATTGAAAATAAAAAATACAAAGATCACAAAGATAAATATGTTCCTGACTTCAGCATTACTTCCCACAAGGAATTGCTATGCAGTATTTTAAATGCTTACAACTATTATCAGAGAAAAAGAATAGAACAGTTTCATATTATGCAAACTCAGCACTATATTAAACATATTTATGACAACAAAATACATTAGTTCTGTCTTTAATAGAATGTAAATGTACAATGGAATTGTTTAAACAGTGCATGATCTGTGCATCCTTTTCTAACATTTACCTATTTTGATTTTATAAGTAATTTATACAAATGTAAGGAACCAGCCTCATTTGTATAAAATAAATATTCTAACAAACTTTGTATTTCTAAAAAAGCATAACCATGCTTGTGTATCACAGCATAACTACTGAAGAGAGATTTCTGTCAATGGAATGCATGACAGCGATAAAATTATTATTAAATATTCTCTACATATATGCTTTTTATCAAGACATAAAAAAGACAACACAAAAAATAAAAATTAATGGTAACCATTGCTCCACAGTAAGCTTATTTTTTTCTTTTGACTCAGTCTGGCAATATGTACTACACAAAATTTTGTAGTCAGTAATTCACAGAGCTATTAATCTAGATCGACAATTATGGAATCTTTCAGTTAATTTACGGACCTCCTCTGCATGTTGTTCACTCATTGGTTGTCTCCCTAGACCAGGTAGGTTGACCATACCAACAGGACCTTTTAACTTTCGAGGATCCAAATTGGCACCAATATTCTGCATTCCTTTAGCCAATTTTGAAAATGGAGACAGAACAAGATCTTTAGTGACTGCAACTGGTGATGTAATAGCATTAGTAAACCCACTTCGGAAAGATCTAAGAGCATTCTCGCTCTGGGATGACGTTATATTGAGACTCAGATCTCTTTCTGATGATGATCTGTGAGTATCATTCAGTAATAAACTACCTCCTGTACTTTTTGTTGCAAACTCAACATTTGCACTGACATCGTTATTACGAACAACTTGCCTTTTGTCAACTTCATCTGAAGAATGTGAAAGTTTTCGTGCTAGTTGAAGTGTATTAGGCGGGGTGAGTTTTGAGGAATTGGATTTGAATTCCATTTGCGTTATATTTTGGCTCTCCCCTTGCAAAACAGTTTTAGGGTTCATTCCAGAAGTATCTTGAATAGATGCTGTATTTTCAACTGTTATTTCTGGAGTAGCTGAGCCTGGTCGATGAGGACTTGGGCATAAAGAGGAATTCTTGGAAACTACAGAACCACTAGAAGGTTCTTGAGGAAATAAACCAGAAACATCAAGACTTAAATCTGTGCGAGAATGGGTCAATACATGGCCATGTATAGACACATTCTGAACTACTCTTGACAATGATACGTTATCTATGAACGGGGCAGGAGTGATATTTGGTAGCAGATTAATAGTTCTCACTTTGTGTGCCTCTAATAGGCACTCAACAGCTTTACTACAAAATTTTGAGGTCATAAGAATCCCTACACTAGGTAAATACACATCTACATTCCTGTGCTTTACATGAGACAGAATAGGACCTAGAGAGTGATGTGGTTGCAAAAGAACACCTGAAGGCAAATTAAAAACACCTGGATCATCATCTTCATCACTAGAATGTTTACAGGAAACAAGTCCTTGCTGAGAGGAATTATCAGGAACACCGACAGTAAACATAGTTTCCATTACCTGTAGAAATCATACAGATGTGTAACTTATAAGAAAGAAACCTTATATAAAAAATTAGATTATTTATCATATCTTAATTAAGTAAAAAGTTAATATGTTAAATAATATTTTTATAATTACAATCAATTAACATGATCTCAAAGATTAATTTTAATGAGAAATTATAAATGTAAAAATTACTGATGAAATTTACAACAAATTAAAGCTCAACATAAAATAAAATGAACATTAAAGTTGTTCACTGCTTCTACAATTTATCATTGATCTTCATTATTTTCATTTTCCTTAGCTGTTCTTTACATGTTGGGGGATAGCAGATTTCATTGCACATATTCTCAGTTCATTCTGCCAACCTTTGTAATCTAGTAGGTATTAGTAAATTGTATTCAGCGTTGTTTGTCGTTTCAACATGAATTAGATGACTGTCAAATATTGTGAGAAATGAGGCAGTTCGTATACAGTGGCGTTGTGAACATTGACTCGTTTCCACTCAAATGCCATGTGCGGATTGTGGAACATTATTAACTACTACTGGAAACAGAGGAGAAAGTTTTGGAGACAGGGAACAGAGGAAACATTATTGAAAGCCAACAGCGTCCCTTACGTCATCGTCTCTCACTCAGTAGTTTACACCAAAAAGATTTGGATAGTTATCTCATGGAATATTTGTGGATAAAAGATTGCAAAATAATGGGTAGAGATCCATTCCTGTTTCCAATTGAACATCATAATATTGCATTTTGGAGGTTGTGATTTTTCTAACTAAAGTGTTCTTATACTTTACAAATGTTTTGTTCAACACTTTCCTTCATTGCTTTAGATTAGAAAAGATTACATTAGTATATTACAAAGTCATATTCAGGGGCAGATCCAGAGACTAATTTTGGGAGGGGAAATTCAAAATGTTTGGTCGAAGGTGTCATATTATAGATTTTGTTAAATGTCGTTAGCTACACTAGCTCATACTGCTACACGGTTTTATGCTTTTTAATGTTTTCTGAAAATATTTTTGCTTGAACGTTTTGTGACAAGTTAAAATTAATTGTCCTGAAACATTTTGGGGGGTGATTTCCCTCACTTCCCTCCCCGTAGATCCTGTTATAGTCATCCATGATTAAGTTATTTTCTCGTGAATACAAATATGAAAGTTTCTGTAAGTTGAAAGTTGCATGGTGCAGAATGGCATGACTTGTTCGCAGGTTGGTATGAAGACAACAGACGGGTCCAATGCGCTGCATACCCCAAAATGTAAAGAATATTCTTTATCATAAATTTGCAGTAACATCAGTTGATTAAAAATTACTTTCTTACGATTACATAACACTATTTTCAAGAATACTCTTAGTACTACTTAAAAATATCTCTAATACATGACATTTAGACTAATACTACTCAGTTTGGCTGGCCAATAATTTCAGTAATTAGGTATGCCAAATATTGAAGAGATTTCAAAGCAGGATGTTATTTTTAAAGTTGTCTTAAGAATATTTCTAATAAGACAGAATTTAAAAATTTAGAATTACTATTTCACAAAACAATAACCAAAAAACAAGGAATTAATTGTACCATTTTATTAAAGGGGTAAAATTAACAAATAGCATTATAGCATTTGGACACATGATACGTATTGTGACCAGGTTGTTTGACGATTACCTTGTCTGACTGCTGTTCCTCACTCTTTGGTTTGGACTTTCTTGTGTTGAAACTGTGTCCCAGTCTATTCAGTTTGTTAAACTGTTGTGTCACGTTACTGATGGCTTTGGAACCTATTTTTGACAAAATATTTTTAGACACAAGAAGCACAAAACTTTCATCATTCTTTCCAGAAAGGTTATTCACAAATAGATTTCTCTAGAACTAGAAAGCACAATACTCATATTTACTCACCAGCATTTTTGAAGGAAAGCAACTGAGATTCAGACACATTACGTGTCATATGAGGTAAGTGTGCAATATCCAAATAACTGAAAGTAGCATTGTTTGAGCCTGTCATAGACAACAACTTACTTTTTTTCCTATCCAACTTTCCCTGAACAAAAGGCACCACTGGTAAGCCTGCTATTTCCAATGCAACTAAAAATGCTTCACAGACAGCTTTGAGAGATTCTGAAAGAAAAAAAGGCAAACCAACTTGAAGTGTTAAATGCTTCACAGATACAATTTTGACTTACTTATCCAGCCAAAGCAACAAACTGGACTTTCTTCCCACAAAAATAAACACGTAACACAGGTTTAATCTAATGTATAATCTTCATTTCATGTTTCATAAATTTCATTCCATCAGAATTTCTAGTTTAACAAAACACTGTTGACACAAAATTTTACAGCATTTTTGCAGATCTAAGAATTTATATTAGTTCTTTTTGTATGCCTCATCAAGTTGGCCAAATTTTTCCTGGAAAAAATTTCTCTGACTTTTCCTGATTTTCCAATACATTTCATTTTTTTCGCAAAAAAATTGGCAATTAACACTATTTTAATTAAATAAATTAGTAATTGAACACCCATTACTAAATTTGTATAATGTTTTTAATTTACCAACTACTTCCAATGATTACTGCACAAATAAAACAATCTCAAGTATACGAGATCTATTTTTTATTAATTTAAATACAGAATAACCATATATCTAGGCATAATTATTGTTTTTTCATGCACAACAATTGAGGAAGTAGCTAGAAGGGCCCATAGGACTGTGGGCCCTTCTTCCTGAGAATGCAGAAATGAATTCTGTGTACTTTAATCTATATCCATGAAAATGTTCATGATTTTATCTCTGTTCATTAGGTAGGTTGAGGAATAGTCCGTTACATGAAGAGAGTTCCCCCAAAATACTGCACTATAGCCTGACACTCAAGTTCCACTTATTACAGCAAAAGTAACTGACATTTGGGACTTGCACGGGTACTTAAAGGAAGAGAGCAAACAATTTTACCAAAACATTTTTGAAGAGTGTACTCCTCAAGAAGTGTCCACCGAAAATGTTGACAAAAATGTCCAAATCTGATAGCTCACAAGATGAACTGTGAAAATTGAACAATGTGGCATATTATTTTGTATCATGCAAAAAATATTTTAGTTATAAACTAACTTATTAAATTTGCTTTTTTATCCTGCAAATAATGCTATTCATTAGGTAATGGAACTGCAATTCAATGAAAATGCAAAGATGATCATGCACGACCAGTCCATATGTCACATTTGTTTTTTGACTTAACAAATCAAATCAAATGCATGTTTTCTTACATTAGGAAGACAAAGAAGCAAAGAAGCTAATCCGAGGGTGTCAGGTCGGACGAGTGGAGGGGTCGGAGGGGTCGGAGGAGGAGTGAGGAGGATTAAATGAGTGAGTTGCAATGTCCCATCCAAACGACATGAGCAAGTCCTCAGCAACGCGGTTGGTATGGGGTCTAGCATTGGTCTTAATCCCTCTTCTGTCTTCGATTTTTATGCAGCAACATTAATGGTGCTATTTGCAGCAATATTAATGGTGGTCCCCACAGGCATGAAATCGGCCAACAATATCCCGTTCTGGTCCCAAAAGATGGTTGGCATAATTTTTCTCTGTGAATGCTAATTTTTGTATTGGCGAATGGGTACGGCGCCATTGCACCAATGTTATCTATTTGGAAACACTCTGATGATTCACTACCTCGAATCCGTAGGTGTCCACAAGGTGGCAATGTATACTGACTGCCGATTCGTTGCGCAACTTTAAGAAACGAATGACAGCGAATCTCACATCTGTGGTATGTGGAGCAAACGGGCGACAAACTGGATGACATGATAAACTGATGCGACGACATTTTGTAACGAACTGAGATACTTGATGTCTCATTGTGTGCGTTAAGATACCTATTACGTCGAGACAGCAAAGGTGACACCCATAAACACCCCCATAAAGTTTATTTGCAAATAATCACTTTGCCCTGTTACACCATTTCACAGGCAATTTATTTTCTGGCCACCTGTGTGTGCGATAAGTAATTTGTGACTTTTATTAACACAGTATGTAGCGAGTGTAGATACCAAAGTTTTGGTCTTTCCAGCATACTTCTTCCATCAACATCATCAGGAGGCGAATTTTAATGAAATGTAATTTCTTCCTTTTCACTTTAGAAAAATATCTTTTAGTATAGAAATAAATTTTGTAATGACAAAAGAAAATTACCCATTTTTATTTGTCATTTTTTTGCATTTCTCGTTGACTTCAACTAATAAGCCATTTTTTACCTTTTCCCGTCATTTGCATTTCTCACTGATTTCACTGATTTTAATATTTCAATGGTACATGCTTTAAATAATATTTACGAGATGCAACAAATGTTCTCCACAGAGTTCCTCAGAAGCCTATTCAATTCCTTCGTTCAGAAATTGTAATATCAGTTATTTATGTCATCTAAGGTTCATGTGCCATCTTTCGGCGCCATTGTCGGTTCGGCCGATTTCGCAATAACTAAAGACAGATTTCCTAATACAGAACAGTCCAAACCAAAAGTCTGAAAGGGAGATCGTTTTCCGCGGCCGGAGTCGATCTGTACTGTGCTGCCCGGGAGACGCCGCGTCGAAAGCACTGTTGCCATTATAAATTTGAATTTGAATTGAATTAATGCCTTGATGAGACTCGGGTCATCAGGACCGCTCTTCCGTCTGACCACGCAAATTTCGCTACGCTCCTTTCACCAACTAGCAGAGAAAGGAGGTATTTTTTGAGCGAGAAACAGACGATTTTGAATTTAGCTCAGAGGCGTCATTTAGGCATGAGGATCTTTTACATGCAAGTAAATCTACTAACATGGGACAGCCGGCTTTACTTTCCCTCCGAAGGAAGGCGTACGAAGGATTTTTTCGCCCTTAAAAATCCACGGCTTCCATTGGGTTTGAACCCGCCAACTTGGGTGTATACCCAATCCAATACGCTAACCGTTACACCATCGCCGCCGCAACCTTCCTCAAGGCGTAATGCGCGAAGATGGACTGCGCACAAGTTAATATAGTTG